CCCATTGTCATTGGGCCAATTCTGACGCATAGTGAAGACTCACTGATATAAAACAACTGCCCTAGAGTTCTCAAGATAAAATCTTTACAATGCAGACTACCACACAGTTTTCTTCCATGGAGAGGCTGATGGGTTTGAACCACTGAACTTTCAGTTGGCAGTCAAGTGCTTGCTTAAACACTGTTTCATCAGATCTCCTTCTTGAGAACATTAGTTTCCCAATATTCTGACAATGTTATCTTCCTCAATGGGTCTTCTCCAGTATGACATGCTGGGTTGAGAGCCCCATAGCAAGAAGGATAGAAACGTGCCCCAGTGCAAGTCTGGAACACCTGAACTCTAAGTTACCAAAAGAAAAAATAAACAGTGTCACTTAACAATAGGGAGAAATGGCTGTGAAATAATTTATACTTGAAAAAAATTTTAAAGGGAAAACTAGTTTCTATGGAAAAATAAAGCTTTGCTTTTCTTGCCATTATTTTTACAATGTACTTTACATCTTACAGCCTGCCTTACACCTCTTGTCTGTCAGTTTGTCATACTGTGGTAGCTTACATGCTGCTGTGATTCTGGAAGCTATGCCACCGGTAGTTTAAACCTTAGCAGGGTCACCCGTGGTGGACAGGTTTCAGCTGCTCATCAAGACTAAGATATACCAGGAAGAAGGAGAGACAGATTACTTCTGAATATTTAGTTACTGAACACCTTATAAATAGCAGTATAACACTGTCAGATAGCACCAGAATGCTGAATATTGAAACATGATGAAGAACACTAGAATATTGTCAGATATAGTGCTGGAAAATGAACTCCTCCTGTTGGAAGACACTCAAAATACGACTGTAGAAGAGCTGCCTCCTCAAAGCAGAGCTGAGCATGATGGCGCAAATACAGCAAAAATTTCAGAACCTTCATTTGCTGATGAGGTACAACTCAAAATGAGGAGAAACAACTGTAAGCATCTATTAATAGTCAAAACATGGAATTACAATGAATCTAGAAACATTGGAAGTAGTCAAAAATGAAATAGAACACATAAACATCAATATCCTAGGTATTAGTGAGCTGAAATGAACTGGTATTGGCCATTTTGAATCTGATAACCACATGGTTTATTATGCCTAGCATGAAAATTGAAGATGAATGGAGTTGTATTCATCATCAAAAAGAGCATTTCAAGATCTGTCTTGAAGTACAATGCTGTCTATGATCAGATAATATCCCTATGCCTACAAGGAAGACCAGTTAATACAACTATTATTTATATTTACACACCAACCACTAAAGTCAGTGATGATGAAATTGAAGAGTTCTGCCAACTTCTTCAGTCTGAAACTGACCAATCATGCAATCAAGATGTATTGATAATTTCTGCTGATTGGAATGCAAAGTTTGGAAACAAAGAGGAAGAATCAGTCATTGGAAAATATGTCCTTGGTGATAAAAATGATACTAGAGATAACATGATGGAATTTTGCAAGACCAAAGACTTATTATTCATTGCAAATACCTTTTATAAAAATTTCAAAAGGTGACCATATACATGGACCTCATCAGATGGAATATACAGAAATCAAATTGACTACATCTGTGGGAAAAAATGATGAAAGGTTCAATATCATTAGCCAAAAAACAAAAGACTGAGGGCAGACTGTGGAACAGACCATCAATTATTCCTATGCAAGTTCAGGCCAAAGCAGAAGAAAATTAAAACAAGTCCATGAGAGCCAAAATATGGTGTTGAACAAATCCCACCTAAATTTAGAGATCACCTCAAGAACCGAGTTGATGAATTAGACATTAATGACTGCAGACCAGAAGAGTTGTGGATGGCATCAAAAACATCACACAGGAAGAAAGCAAAAGGTCGTAAGAAGACATGAAAGAAGGAAAAGACCAAAATGGATATCAGAAGAGACTCTGAAACTTGCTCTCCAGCATAGAGATGCTAAAGCAAATAGAGGAAGTGAGGTGGTACAAGAGCTGAACAGAAATTTTCAAAGGGCAGCTCAAGATGACAAAGTCAAATATTATAATGAAATGTGCAAAGACCTAGAGTTAGAAAACAAAAAGGGAAGAACATGCTCAGCATTTCTCAAACTGAAAGACCTAAAGTAAAAATTCAGACCTCAACATTCACTATTGAAGGATTCTATGGGCAAAATGGGAGTCCTGGTGTGGCACTGTGGGTTAATGAATTGGACTGCAAAGTCATTTGAAATGCAAGGTTGGCAATTCAAGCTCACCAGCCACTCCTTGGAAATTTTATATATGGGTCAGAACTGATTCGATGGCACTTAGCAACAGCAATGGGCAAAATACTGAATGATACAGAAAGCATCAAAAGAAGATGGAAGGAATACACAGTCACTATACCAAAAGGAAATGGTTGGTCTTCAATCATTTCAAGAGGTAGCATATGATTCAGAGCCAGTGATATTGAAGGAAAAAGTCCAAGGTGCACTGAAGGCACTGGAAAAGAAAAAACTCTGGAAATTGATGGAATACAAATTGAAATATTTCAACAAATTGATGTAGTACTGGAGGCATTCACTCATCTATGCCAAGAAATTTGGAAGATAGTTACCTGGCCAACTGATTGGAAGAGATCCTTTATGTCCACTTCAAAGAGTGATGATCCAAAGGAATGTGGAAATCATCAGACAATATCATTAATACTGCATGCTAGTAAAATTTTTCTAAAGCTAATTTAAAAATGGCTGCAATAGTATATTGACAAGGAGCTGCCAGATGTTCAGGCTGGATTCACATGGGGACTTGGAAAGAGGGACATAATTTCTGATGTTAAGTGGATCTTGCCTGAAAACACAGAATACCTGTGCCTTATTGACTATGCATAGGCTTTCAGTTGCATGGATCATGACAAGCTAGGGTATGAGTATTCTGGAGCACTTAATTTTGCTCATGAGGAACCTGTGTATAGACCATCTGAACAGAACAAGGGGACACGGAATGGTTTTAAATTGCGAAAGGTGTGTGCTAGGGTTGTATTCTTTCACCATACTTATTCAATCTGTTGTTGTTGTTGTTGTTGTTAAGTGCCATCGAGTCGGGTCCGACCCATAGCGACCCTGTACAGGGTTTCCGAGGGTGTAAATCTTTACGGGAGTAGAAAGCCTCATCTTTCTCCCGCGGAGCGGCTGGTAGTTTCGAACCGCTGACCTTAAGGTTCGCAGCCCGATTCGTAACCACTACGCTACCAGAGCAATCTGTATGCCAAGAAAATAATTCGAAAAGCTGGATTATATGAAGAGGAACATGACATCAGGGTTGGATGAAGATTCATTAACAATCTGTGACATGCAGATTATACAACTTTGTTTGCTGAAAGCAAAAAGGATTTAAAATACTTACTGTTGAAGATCAAAGACTACAGCCTTCAGAATGGGTTGCATCTCAATGTAAAGAAAACTGATATCCTCACCACTGCACCAATAAATAACATCAAAATAAATGAACAAAAGTTTGAAGTTGTCAAAGACCTCATTCTGCTTGGATCCACCATCAACACTCTGGAAGCAGAAGTCAAGAATTCAAATGATGTGCTGCATTAGGCAAATCTGCTGCACAAGATCTTTATAAAGTGTTCAAGAGCAAAGATGTCACTATGAGGACTAAGGTGTGTCAGACCCAAACCATGATATTTTCAATAGCCTCATATGCATATGAAAATTGGACAGTAAATAAAGAAGACCGCAGAAGAATTGATGCATTTGAGTTATGGTGTTGGAGAAGAAAATTAAAGATATCCTGAACTGCCAGAAAAAAAAATAAATCTGTGTTGGAAGTACAGCCAGAATGTTCCTTAGAAGACAAAATGACCAGACTTCGTCTCGCATACTTTGGACATATCAGGAGGAACTCGTTCCTGGAGAAGGATATCTTGCTTGGTAAAGTGGAGGGTCCGCAAAAAAAAAAAAAAAGAGGAAGACCCCCAAGGAGATAGATTGGCACAGTGCCAGCAGCTATGGCTCAAATCTAGGAACCATTGTGAGATTGGCACAGGACTGGGCAGTGTTTTGTTGTATTGTTGATAAGGTATCTATGAGTTGGTATTAAGTTAAAGGCACCTAACAACAACAAGGTTTCTTTTATTTTGAAGTATGTTTGGTACGAAGAGGGAGCACAGTGGCCCTGCAGGATAAGCAATGAATGATGAACCACATGGTCAGCAGTTTGAGCCTACCAGCCACTCTCCAGGAGAAAGATGAGGCTTCCTGCTTCCATAAAGATTTCCAGCCTCAGAAACTATAGTTTCTGTGTAGTTTGAAGCACTATGCATTGGAACCAACTTGACAACCCTGAACAACAACAAGGATATGAGTCAGTCATTCTAGTGCATAGAGGTGGCAGTTGGCCAAGTGAAAGACTTTCAGGGTTTGGGAAGGAACACCATCTTCCAAATATCTCCCAGTCTTAACATTATTATCTTGTTTACCAAAACCTTTTACTCCACAGTGGGGGTGGGGAGGCTGCTTCTGATGGAAACACATCTGAGTAGGAGTCAAGCACATGCACATTATGGTATAAATAACAGACAGTCTTCTTTCTAGTTCTGGATTATTAGTGCGGCTACTTGGTGTCTGGATGATGCTATATAATAAATGTTATTTATTGGTCCAGCATTTGGAAAGTGGACACTAGAAGGAAATCAAAAACTTATGTGCTAAACGTAGCCAAATTCATTTCAGGGAAGGTTGCCAAAAGGTGACAAGTGAATGTGACTCTCGCTCTGACTTGAGACTTTAAAATATGCATGGGAGTATGAGTGCCCATGCATGTTGGGGTTAGAAAAGACCCTTAGGTGGCTGAAGCCTGAGTAGTGGAAGGGTTCCATTCAAAACTGGGAGGCTAGCTTTCCATGTTCCTCTGCAGTCCAACCCATTCCCATAATTACTCCATCCATACGGCAATCTTATTTTAATTCATAGGTGATTGAATGGCTGCTCATTTTAAAGGCATGGCTTTTGGTTTTTCAGGGCTCCATGTATCTTCCAGGAAGTACCATCAAGGAGATTGCCACAAACCCAGAAGAAGCTGGCAAGTTTGTCTTTGAAGTCATTCCAGGTGGGTGACAAAAGGTGGGACAGAGGTGCATTATATTCTCCCTATACTTCTGGATCCTGAAAGGCAAGGCTATATTCAGTGACTCAGTCAACCAACTAGCCAAGCAACCTATTAAGAACTTATATTGGATCGACCTATAGTCAGTGAGGAGTCCTAGTGTGGCACTGCAAAGCCGTTTGAACTATAAGGCCAGTAGTTTAAGCTCACTAGCTGCTCAGGAACCCTATATAGGTCGGAATCGACTCAACGGCACTTAATAACAACAACAACAACAACATAGTCAATGAGGAGTTCTGGTGTGATGCTCTGGGTTAATGTGCTAGACTGCAAAGTCATTTGAACCACAAGGTCAGTAGTTCAAGTTCACCAGCTGCTCCTTGGAAACCCTATACAGGGTTGCTATTGGTCAGAACCGACTTGACGGCACCTAATAACAACAACATAGTCAATGAGCTGTCCTGGTTTGGCGCTGTGGGTTAATGCACTGGACTGCAAGGTCTGTCTGAACTGCAAGGTTGGCAGTTCAAGCTCACCAGCTGCTCCTAGGAAACCCTATACAGGGTCACTGTGGATCAGAACCAACTCAATGGCACTTAACAATAACAACAACATAGTCAATGAACCTATATTAACCAAAACCCACGGCGTGGAGTCAATTCTGATTCATGTTGACCCTATGGTTTTGTTATTGCTAAGTGTTGCAGTCAGTTTTGACTCAGCAACTCTGTATAGGGTTTCCAAGGAGTGGCTGGTGGGTTTGAACTGCCATTCTCATGGTTATCAGTCCAATGCTTGTCCTATAGTGCCATACCAGAACTCTATAGGGCAGAGTAAAATTGTCCCATGGGGTTTCTGAAACTGTAAATCTTTACTGGAGCAGACAACTTCATCTTTCTCCTGAGCAGTGGCTGGTGGGTTTGAACCAGCAGCTCAATGCTTAACTCATAGTGCCACCAGGTCTCCTAAACCTGTACTAGTTCTACAATTATAGTTAATAAACCTGTTCTAGTTCATTGTTTTTATTGTTGGTAACTTCCATCAAGTCAGTTTTGACTCAAAGTGACCCTATATAGGGTTTCTGAGCATCACTTGTGGGTTTGCACTGCCAACTTTGTGGTTAACATTCCGGTGCTTATCCTACAGCACCACACCAAGACTCTATTTGATGCCAGTTCATTAACTAGTATCAAATGCTAAATAATGCCCATGAACTAAATTATTGTGTATCGGGTTCAACTTTATAAACACTTTACAAGAGCATGCTGGGATCTAGACATGCTGTTGGATGGTAAAGAATATTAAGAGTCCCATGGACTACCTGAAGAACAAACTAGTCTGCACTGGGACACTGATATGAGAAGTACGTCATTCCTGTTCACTGAATGCAATTCAGTTTAGAAAGGGAGTCACACATTAAAATGAAAATTAGCTACATGAAACCGCCATCTTGAAATGTGAAAACGGTTGAATATCATCAGCAGGATCATATGGTTTAATGTGACAGTGAGAAGGAACAGGTCTTTCATATGTACAAGGGCAGTGTGCAGCATACTGGTGTGCTACTGTAGGATAAGCATGGACTTCTGGTGTGGCACTGTAGGATCAGCACTGGAGTCCTGGTATAGTGCGGTGAGATCAATGCTGGACTTTGAACCACAAGGTCGGCAGTTCAAACCCACCAGCTGTTTCTTGGAAACCCTGTATAGGGTCACTATGAGTCAGAACCAACTCGATGGAACTTAACAACAGCTTGCACACTGAGGGGTTAATCAGGTGATTAAAACCATGGTATTTTTAAAAGCCTCATATGCATGTGAAAGTTGAATAAGGAAGACGATAGAATTCATGGTGATGGAAAAGAATATTAAGAGTACCATGGACTGCCTGAAGAGCAAACTAGTCTGTGTTGGAAGAAGCACTCCTTAGAAGCTAGGATGGCAAGAGTTTATCACTCATACTTCAGGAATATTACTGCAAGGGGCAGTCTCTGGAGAAGGACATCGTTCTTGGTAAAGTAGAGGGATCACGGAAAAAAGAGGAAGACCCCAATTGGCACAGTCACAGCAGCAATGGGCTCAAGTGTAACAATGATTGTGAGGTTGGCCCAAGACTAGCTAGTGTTTCATTCTGTTGTGCAGAGGGTCGCTGTGAGTCAGAACCAACTTGATGGCACTTAACAACAACAAACTGAGAATGCCTCTTCCCTAGAAAGAGTTTTCTTTCTTGAATGTTTTGGGAAAGGAGGAGTTTGTCTCACACTCCTGAATCTGTCTACAATAAGACCATTTCTCTGTTGTCTCTTGCTCCTACACCAGTCTTACCCCTTCTGGAAACCATGGTTTTCTTGATGCTACTGTGGACCTTCTCAGCAAAGGGACCACTAGCCCCTGGAGTGTCATTCCTTTCTACTTCCACAAGGATGTTGTGTGCCTAAGAAACTTGATGGGCAAGGCGATGTAGCATAGAGAGTAGAAGAGAACATCTAAAGGAAAAGTCATCCAGGCAGAGGGAACAGCTAGTGCAAAATCCCTGAGTCTACTTCACATGTTTAAGGGACATCAAGGAGGCCAGTGTAGCTAGAGTGGAGTAGTGACAAGGGAGAAGAGGAGGAGATTAGTTCCGGAGTTGGGGACAGCATGGGTAAGCAATTGTAGGACATTTAGCTTTTATTCTATAAGACTAGAGAACAGAAGCAAGGAGACCAATTGTTGTTAAGTGCTGTCGAGTCGATTCTGACTCATAGTAACCCTATATTCAAATTTCCTTTGGCTATGGTTTCTTAAACCTATCCTTCTATACCTCCTTTATCATTTGAGGGGATTTGATTCTGAATCCATCCTATCATCCACTCACCAGTTATTCTGTCTAGAAGTGTCCATCCATGGAAGCCCTGATCATTCAGGACCACCTTGAGAGTTGTGTGTTTCTCAGTGGAGTTGCTCATGGCAGAGTTAAAGGATTCTCCAGGAATAAGAATGTTCCTAAGTGTTCTTTCTTCTTCTTCCAGTGTCATGGTACCAGAATCGCTCAGGACAGGACTCCTATGTCCTCATGGCCAGCTCCCAGACAGAGATGGAGGAATGGGTGAAATTCCTCAGGAGAGTTGCAGGCACACCCTCTGGAGGTAAGGCTCTCTGCAGGTTTTCCTGGAGTAGTTTTCTGTGGAACTTTCCTGGGGCGGGGGGCAAGTAACTCTAGACATGAGCTTCAGTGTTCAAGGGAGACCACCAGAGAACAATGCAGAGGCCATGGCCAAGTTCTTTGAGTCTAAAAGAGTCTAAAAGAAAAGAGTTCAGAGTCTCTAGCTTCTATCCTGGGTCATCTCAAAGAGCCTTCTCTGTAGATCCGCTGGGGGACTCTTTGCACTGACCAATGTGAACGATGTCCTGGGGTAGCTCTTTTCCTCTCTGGGCCACACTATTCTCATCTGTTGGATAAACGGGTTGGAACAGCAGATCCTGGCCCTGGGTAGCTCTAACATGAATGTTCTGTAGCACCTCAAGTCTGCAGGTTTTGTGCGTTATGAGGCGTACATGTATTTCATGGCAAGAACTGTGCTGACATTTTTAGACTGATCAGCACAGGAAAATAAAACTGCTAGAGTAGAGCAATCAGATGAAGCTCAGGAATTGTTTCCAGAGTCTCGCAGGTACAGGATGCATTCATCATTAAAGACTTTTCTGGGCTACATGACAAATGTTTGAGGCCTCTGGGAATCTTGGTGCTATTTCTCTATTTGTTGTTTTGATGCTAAGTGCCGTTAAGTCAGGTCCAACTTATAGCAACCCTGTATAGGGTTGCCTGGGAGCAGCTGGTAGTTTTGAACCGCCTACCTGGTGGTTCACAGTCCATTGCTGATCCTACAGCACCACACCTGAAGTTCGTTTCTCTACTGGAGGAAAGAAAAACTGAAAAGCTGAAACATCTACAATGAACAAATAGATGAATCCAGTGTATTTTTTTCTTTTCATAAAAATAAGAAAGAACTGAGCTCTTAGGTTAACATTCCCTACAACATTTTAAGAATACACCTACTTGCGTTAACGCCCAGATAACCAAGTACATTTATAATTGTTCCTCAGCTGTGCTGCTTGTTATCTTAGAAATTGTTTACGCAAGCTTTCATAGTTCAAATAGCAAATATTTATATGATTGTTCAACTGCTTCTTTGAAAAATTTAAGAACACCATAACAACTTCATGAATATTTGAAAAAATATATAGGAAAATAACCACTTGTCACTGAGGTACTCCCAACACATGGTGACCCCATATGTGTCAGATTAAACTGGTGCTCAATAGTTCTCAGTGGCTGTTTTTTCACAAGTAGATCGCTAGGCAGACTAGAACCTCCAACATTTTGGTAAGCAGCTGAGAGCTTAACCATCTGCCCTACCTAGGGCTCTATCACCCCTAAAACCACCAAAAGTATTTTTATGTTTTCCTTCCTGTCATTGTTCATCCAAAATTTGTTTCCAGAACAATAAACGTCGGACATATGCAATTTAATACTTCTTATTTGATACATGGAGTATTTTCTCATGTTTCTATGTAATATGAATGGATACATTTCAGAGATTATTTAGGAATAAGCAATAGGAATTTGCTGGGTAGATACGGCAGCTGCTCAGAAATCAAGGCAGGGATGCCAAGGGACTGGGGCCAAAAGGTGGAGCATTTGCATGGAACCAATTCTGTCAATTTCTCTGAGGCTTACAGTCCCTTGATAGTCCCTTGTTCTTTTTCCTGGACTCCTGCTCATGTTTATCTGGTCAGCAGCTCTCTTGTGCTCACGTCTGTCCTGAATGCTTCTCACTGAAGTCCCAGGGAGGCTGAGCTCAGTTTCTGTAACCCCATTCCAAACTTCTATGAAAAAGAGCCTGCATGGCTCACTTGGCTCAGGAGCCCATCAGTGGATCTGGGCCTGCGTCAGGAAAGCAGTTTTGTGGTCTGTTAGCTGACCAGTTTCTTCTTCTTATGAAGAGAAACATGGCATCAGGATTGGAGGAAGACTCATTAACAACCTATGATATGCAGATAGTACAACCTTGTTTTCTGAAAGCCAAGAGGGCTTAAAATACTTACTGATGATCAAACACCATAGGCTTTGGTATGGGTTGCACCTCAATATAAAGAAAAAAAAAAAAAATCCTCACCATTTGAGCACTAAATAACATTTAGATAAATGGAGACAGGATTAAAGTTGTCAAAGACTTCACTTTGCTTGGATCCACCATCAGCACTCATGGAAACATCAAGAATTCAAACAACATATTGCATTAGGCAAATCTTCTACACAGGACCTCTTTAAAGTATTCAAGAGCAAAGATGTCAGTTTGAGGACTAGGTGCACCTGACCCAAGCCATGGTATTTTCAATAACCTCATATATATATGAAAGTTGGACAATGAATAAGGAAGACTGTAGAAGCACTGAAGCATTTGAGTTATGGTGTTGGAGGAGAATATTAAAAGTACCTTGGATGGCCAAAGACCAAACCAATCTGTGTTAGAAGAAGGGCATCCAGCATGCTCCTTAGAAGCCAGAATGGCCAGACGTTGTCTCTCACACTCCAGGCATATTATCAGGAGGGACCAGTCCCTGGAGAAGGATAACATGTTGAGTAAAGTGGAGGGTGGGATAAAAAAAATGGAGACCCCCAACAAGATAGATTGGCACAGCGGTAGCAGCAATAGCCTCAAACATAGCAACAATTGGGAGGTTGGCACAGGATCAGGCAGTGTCTCATGCTGTTCAGTCTGCATAATCTTAGCTGTGACTTTCCTTAATGTCTTTGTCATGGATTAAATTGTGACCCACCCCTAAATATGTGTCAACTTGGCTGGGCCATGATTCTCAATGGTTTTGTTGTTACTGTTAAGTGCCGTCGAGTTGGTTCCAACCCATAGCGACCCTGTACAGGGTTTCCGAGGCTGTAAATCTTTACGGGAACAGAAAGCCTCATTTTCTCCTTTGGAACAGCTGGTAGTTTCGAATTGCTGACCTGAGGTTAGCAGCCCAACTCATAACCACTATGCTACCAGAGCTCCTTTCTCAATCATTTGTTGTTGTTGTTAGGTGCCATTGAGTCGGTACCAACTCATAGAGACCTTATGCATAGCAGAGTGAAATACTGCCTATTCCTGGGCCAACCTCATTATTGTTGCCACACTTGAGCCCATTGATGCTGCCACTCCACCAATCCATCTTACTGGGGGTCTTCCGCTTTTCCTCTGACCCTCCACCTTACCAAACATAATATCCTTCTCCAGTGACTGCTCCCTCCTGAGAATATGTCCGAAGTATGAGAGATGAAGTTTGGACATCCTTGCCTCCGAGGAGCACTCTGGCTACACTTCTTCCAAAACAGATCAGTTGGTTCTTTTGGCAGCCCATGGCACTTTCAATATTCTCCTTCAACACCATAACTCAAAAGCATCAATTCTTCTATGGTCTTCCTTATTCACTGTCCAGCTTTCTCATGCATATGAGGTTATTGAAAATACCATGGCTTGCATCAGGTGCACCTTAGCCTTTAAGCTGATAGCTTTGCTCTTCAACACTTCAAAGAGGTCTTGTGCAGCAGATTTGCTTAATGCAATATGTTGTCTGATTTCTTGACTGCTGCTTCCATGAGTGTTGATAGTTGATCCAAGAAGAATGAAGTCCTTGACAACTTCAATCTTTTCTCTGTTGATAAGAATGTTGTTTACTGATCCAGTGGTGAGGATTTTTGTTTTCTTTACATTGAGATGTAATCCATAGCAAAGGCTGTGCTCTTTGATCTTCATCAGTAAATTTTTAAGTTCTCTTTACTTTCAGCAAGTAAGGTTGTATCATCTGCATATCGCAAGTTGTAAATTAATCTTCCTCCAATCCTGAGGCCACGTTTTTCTTCATAGAACCTAGCTTCTTGGATTATTTGCTCAGCATATAGGTTGAATAAGTATGGTGAAAGAATACAACCCTGTTGCACACCTTTCTTAATTTTAAACCTTTCAGTATTCCCATGTTCTGTTCAAACAACTGCCTCTTGGTCCATGTACAGCTTTCTCAGGAGCACAATTAAGTGTTCAGGAATACTCATACTTTGCATTGTTAGCCATAGCTTGTCATGGTCCACACAATCGAATTCAGCAGTTGTATAATGATAGACTAATCCTCCATGATGTGATTTAATGTGATCAGTGAACCAGTTGTATGGGAATTGTTGTTGCTGTTTAGTGCCATCCGGTCAGTTCTGACTCATATTCATCCCATTCCTTTGGTTTCTAAGGAGTGGCTGGTGGGTTTGAGCCACTGTCATTTAGATTAGCAGTCCAGCACTTATCTTACAGTGCCACATCAAGTCACCACAGTGAGGGGATTAGGGTGGGATAAACCTTGTCATTATAGAGTCCATTCTGACTCATAGTAACCTGATGTTGTTGTTATGAAGTGCTGTCTAGGTGATTCTGACCCATAGTGACCCTGTATAGGGTTTCCGAGGAGAGACTGGAGAGCTTGAACCGCCAACCTTATGGTTCAAAGTGACTGTACAGTCCAGTGCATTAACCCACTAGCAGCACACCAGGACTCCAAGTAACTATAAGACAGAGTAAAGCTGTTCCTTATGATTTTTGAGACTGTAACTGTTTATGGGAACACACAGCCTCACTTTTTCACAGAGTGGTTGGTGGATTAGAACTGCCAATTTTGCATTAGCATTCTAATGTATAATGCACTGCATCACCAGGGAGGCAACACCCTTAAAAAGACACAGCCCAGTAAGGGGAGTATTCCTGGGGTGTGGCCTGCATCCTTTTTTTATCTTACATGAGATAAAAGGAAGGAAGTGAGGAGAGAGGAAAGACAGACTACTACCAAGAAAGAAGACCCAGACTCTGTGCTGAGAGCCTCCTAGATTGATGCAAACGCACATGCAGATCTCCAAGGGTCATTGGGCCACAGATGTTGAAAGGACCTTCCCATACAGCCCTCCCCTAGAGCTGGCTCCCTAAACCTAGCCATCTAGCCTCCAAAACTTTAAGAGAACACGTTGCTATCTGTTAAAGCCACCCATTTTTGGTATTTCTGTTATAGTGTAGTGGTTACGAATTGGGCTGCTAATCTCATGGTCAGCAGT